GGCAAACCTCAGTTAAACTATTTATTTCTAATAAGAGATTCACGTTAAAATGAAAATACATTTAAAGTATTCTGTTTTTACTTTAATCTACAAAAAAAAAAAAAAAAAAAAAAAAAAAAAAATTATATATATAAATTATATATAGAATAGCGCAATTAAACAAAACAGTTTCCTTGAAATACAATATACAATAAATACAATGCTTTGCCTGAAAATTTTCAGAGGTTTACAAGTTTACAATAATCTTTTATAAGTTTTACTTAATCTGTCGACCGAGACGAAGCATTGATTTATATTTTACATTGCATGGCATCCAACTCTGTACTATTATAATTAAATAAATAATTTTATTTAAAAATATTATTTAACTTTGTTGAACGATGATTAATATTACATTGTTGAACCCTAAAATAAACTATTAATTCCGGAAGGAATTACAATAAAAGGGAAACTTTAATTTTGCAGAAAATTAACTGAACAGACTACTTATTATACATAAGACCATGTAATTTATTTAATATAATCCAATTATTTTTCATCTTATTCTTTATCGAATCGATCGTATCTTCATTGACAAAGCATGAAATATTTCTCAATAAAATGATGAAAATTGTTCGATGCACTATTTTCATTTGAATTTAAATGCTCGTAAATTTGCGATTTTATACGTCGATCTTCCACCTATATAAATTGTGATTATGTTATAATTATGAAAAAGATGAAGATACCTCGAGTAATGTATAATTAAGTATTTCTATTTATTTCTGCTATCAATTAAAAGAGTTACATTAAATAAACTTTTTTGTTTGTTTGCCTTCAAATATTCAAATTTATGAGCAAGATATGGACAAAATATTGAGCGCTATTGAAATTCATTCAATACGATTACACGATTAAGTTAAACTTTTATTTTTTTCTCAATGTTGATTGAATTTATTACTTTAATCTATGCAAATATACTTACTTGTAGGAAGAATAAAAAAAAAAATAAATAAATAAATAAAAAAATAAATAAAAAAAAAATTACCCTGTATTTGAAACTGTAGGCATATTAGACAATTAGTAGGGGAATTCACTATAAGAAGATAAAGATTTTCAATAAATAAAGCGTCAAGTCCTCGTCCTCATAGTCATCGTTGTCGTTGGCCTCATTCGTTGCCTCCTCCTCGTCGTCTACTTCGGCAATGTCAAACACAACGATATTACTATGCCGAAGTGGCGTTCGTTTATAAGCACACAGAGTGAAAGCGACCAATTGCCCTTCTGCTTAACGGTTACGAGACACGTTTGACATCCCTGCGGTTGGGTTTGCATTGCGATAACTCACGCTATGTTTACCAAAGGATGGTAAAACGAGCAATTCCGTCTTTCTACGTCTGTATATGAGCATTCGGATATGTGTGCATAAGTGTGAGTCGAGGTCGAGCTTAAGAAACGATGGAGTCTGACACTGCAAATTAATCACAAATGAAGACATCGATCCTTCGTCCATTATACATAGCATCGACGGGCTTATTATTTTATCGGCTGTACAAGAGGTGACGTAACGTTATTGCGATAAGACCGTGAAATTTTAAAGAGAGTTGTTAGCTTTCTGGAAATTGATGTGTATTATAAGAAAACAAAAAAGAAAACAAAAACAAAAAAAAAAAAAAAAAAAAGAAAAAACACGGCTGTCAGTTTTATAGCGGCAAATACTATATTGAAATAATCATGCAACAACGAGCAGCTAAAATGTCTTTTCTCCGTCTTATAAGAAATATCGTTAATATCGTGTTTTGAAATTGTGTGTAAACATTTTCATTAAATAATTATTAAATTCATTCATGATTAGTCGCAGCACTCAAAACTATAAATGAATCTTTGACGTACCAAATATTGTTGCGCTTCTACATTGAAAATGCTAATCTCTTCAATGGTTAATATGAATTCTAATGGTGAAAATAAAAAATTAAACACTACACACTGTATCAGCAGCAGCGTGTTTCAATTAAGTCTAAAGATCCTCTCTGAAAAATATTTAAAATTCTAGGTAATGAATTAACAATGCATACAATTAAATAAACTTACCCAACTCGACATATTAAATTTATAGAAAAGTCGGATAATTGCATTGCGGGAGGACCAATTCAATTTAACGACATTAAATTAAAATAATATTATTTTCTTGACTACCAGTGATACGGAGTTAATTTAATAGAGTAATAATAATTCCGATACCAACGATTAAGCATTTTGTTGTTTGAACCAAGTCCTCGAATCAAATCATCGTCCTCAACACACGCACACACGCACACACATTAATTCATTAAAAATAGAATGGTCGATATATTATACCGTAAACCCAAGGAGATTAAAAGTAAAAATGAGGAAGGTATTTTCAAAATGAAGTGCCCTAACGCGAGAGCGCTACTCACAAAAATTCGCAAGCTTTCGCGTGTCATTTGGAAAAAGTGATGTCGCGATAATAAACGCTGTATTGGGCGGCTCGCACGTCCATATCCACGACGGCGGATAATTTTTTTCCTATCTTTTTTGACATGCCACGGATCTGCCGAGATGGACGTATTACCGAGGATCAGCTCGGCAGCTGTCAGTTGTTCAACTGATTTTTGTATAATGTGCTTAGGCCGCTGTCGTTTGGTCATTCATTTCTTTGACAAGCCCTAATGCGAAGAGATATACACGCGAATTGTATCGCCGCGTTAGAGATTTTAATTTCAATTTCAATAAACCAGCCGTTTCACGTATTGACGCAATACTGATCTCGTGCCCATTAATTTGCCTTTATACCATCAGCTTTACCGAGGCTGGCGCTTATTAATGTTCCACCATACTACAGTATTTTTACAACGATTACGATACATACGAACACTGTGTTTAATCAATGTGTCTACGTTTTAGTTGCACGATCAACCGGATAATAATAAAGAAGCAAACAACCGTACAAACAACAACAATAACAACAACAACAACAACAACAACAACAACAATGAATAAACACCTTCATCAGCATTATTATTTTCGAATCTGACTTACATTATATTAATGGAAGATAATTAATTCATTCTTCATCTGATTTTTATCCATTAATTTTCAGTTTTTCTTTTAATTTTACTGCACATTCAGAAATCTCTGAAAATTCAATCTTCTACATAAGAATTGACCGATTGACTAATTAATCAATTACAATGGCTTCTCTTTCACACAATGTAATGAGCTTGAATTACAAGATTATATTTTAACAGCTTATCAACTGTTCACCCAATAATGGCTAAGATATTTCCATTCTTATCCACTTATGCGAACATTTTACGTTTAATAGTAGTTTTACGAATGTATATCAATAATCCATCGAAGAATAGTGAGAATTGGCTTCATAAATATCGTCTAAATTATTGCAAAACACGCTTTAAATAGACATTAGTATAACGTATTTTTTTAAATTTAAATAATAATTATTTAATGTTAATTAGTGATTATTTGTCAGAAAAAAAAAAAAAAAAAAAAGAAAAAAGTAGAGGTCAATAATTATTTTAGATTTTTTTCTTCGAATTGTTTATGAAACACGACGATATCTCTTAAAAACAGGTCTACAAGGAATATATTGAGCATATGTTCATATAATATTAATGGCAACTAGAATTAATTTAAATTTTAAAATAAATTCATTTACGTAATAAAAACATTTTTTCAGATAATAGCAATCATATAATACATTCGTTATGAACAATTTTTTTGTTAATAATACATGCAGATAAGAGAAGTGAATACGAAATTTTTAAAAATATAATATAATAAATATGGACTATTTGAAATTGAATGGATTGCTATAATGTAATTAAAATTCCATATACACACATAGTCTTTAAAATATAATAAAATATAACAAAAATAGAATAAACAAAATTATTATAAAGGATGAAATTACATAATGTCATGTTGTCTTTTTCATTATTAATATACTATTTGAATTATAAAATTGTCTACGTCTGCAAAGTTTAAAATATTATTCGTAAGATAATATTATAACGTGAATGTTAAAACACTACGTGGACGTTAAAACAATAGTTTTGACCGAATATCTTTTACTCTATGATTATGAATGACGATGACGACGATTTTTTCTCCTCGGCATGATAATCATTTCTCACTCTCTCTCTCTCTCTCTCTCTCTCCCTCTCTATTTTACTCATTCTCAGAAAGTCTTTTGCATTTTCGTTTCGAATCCAGTCAGACTTGTCCTGCTCTTTCAAATGCAAATTTCTTCATAGTCCATCTCTGGGCAAATGCACCTGGTAATGACGTGTTTTGCGCTTCTTTTGCAATCGATCGCCATTTCTTTCTTTGATTCTTTCATTCTTTCTTTCTTTCTTTTTACTCACCGTTCTCATTACATTTATCTGTCTTATTCCATTTATTTTTCTTACAATTCTTTACCCTGTCGCTCTGTAATTTTCATTAACTCCTTCATTTTTATAAGAAAGTCATTTTTGTTTAAATAGCTCGTTATTCAGCCAAACTGAACTACTCTTTGTTTTTGTCTTTTTTTTTTTCAATAATTAAAAGCCAAGTAAAGTAAATGAAGCGAGTTAAGAAAGTACTTAAAATATCACTTACAATTGCGAACAGCAGTTACACTTTAATGAAATACGAAAGACGTAGGAATAAAATGGGCAAACTATATAGCGATGGAAAACAATGTTTAGAATAGAATGAAAATAAACATCGTGCGAAAAGTAAAGTCGAATTAGTAATTAATGGAGATGGAGAAGGACATAAGTAATGAATATGGGTCTTGAGAGGAAAGAAATTTTGTAGCTTGGCAATAGTTAATAACGATACTAATTTATAACGGAGCCTATATATTATCCTATGCTCTAAAACTTTGAATATATATATATGTGGGGGGGGGGGGGGGGGGGGGGGGAGTGTTCTCCTCCTTCTAGCCAAATTAAATGCCAACGGGAATTGAAGCGTCTGTTCATACTCGGTTGCAGTTCCGCCCAACATCGATGACTCTCAGAGCTCCTCGGATACGATAGTGCGCGAGGGTGCCGACGTGACACTCACGTGCAAAGCGAGCGGCAGTCCACCGCCCAGCATCCGCTGGAAAAGAGATGACAACAACAAGATATCTATCAACAAGACTTTGTCGGGTAAGTTGCTTACATTTTGCGGCTTATAATACTGGCAGCAGGTACTTAGAGAGGGGATTATTAGGGTGTCGGTGGGGCTCGTTATTGGCTGATCGTCGCCACTTATGTCTATTGTCATTTGTCTTGGGAATGTTTTCATTTGCTATTGCCATTCATTGTGAGATATTTATTAAATATAATCCTGGATAAATTGTATATTGCCTGGGCATCCCATTCATCTGCAAATTCGGTATGATTTTTCTACTAAATGCCTCGACAGCATCTACCGAATGTAGATTTTATCCCTGTATTAATGGCGAAGATAATGTTATAAGTTATTTTTTACGATTTCCCGTAATGTTATTATAAAAATTTGACGTATTCTCCTAACGTAACGTGGACCGTAACGTGAAAGCATTTTATGAAATTACTTTATATGACAAAAATCCCCCAAATTGAAAACATTGTCAAATATTTGTCATCTGTTAATTACATAATATGTAGTTTTGAGAAAATATTAAAATTTTACGATTTCCCATTTCAATTTACACGTTTGCACGATATTATCCTGAATTAATAGATAATTATTTTTATTTTTTCGTTTAAATTTGCTTTGTTAAAATTGTAAATTACTACATTTTTAATGCAAAACTAGTGTTACATTAAATTATTGCACATTAAAATATTTGCACGAGAAACTATTACCCGAAATCCGATTATTTACGCTTAAGATACCGAAATATTCATTGGTAGCATGAGGCTCGAAGTGTCGTTGAGTGATCAAACTTGATAATTGATCTTGACCTTCGGTAATGTTCGGAATCCAAATGCAATTGAAAATGGATTCGGATTTATTCAAATATATACTTTCTATTGTGCGTACGGTAATACACTTTTCCTTTATTTCTCTTTTAAATGACTGCATAATATTTTCATAATACTTATCTCCGGAAATTGGCTCGCAGATTTTATTTATTATGTATTTTTGTTTGTACTATTCGTTTAGAATTTCCTAATAAAATTATGTGGGATAAGCAAAAGTATAGTCGGTATGTATATGCGTGAACAGTCGATACAAAAACTGCCAGAATGTCACAATAGGAATTAAGGGATAGAGGAGCGTAATATAAAACGCCTAATAAATCGTTATTATGTTTAAATTATCGTAGGTAGTACGTTAAAGTCGAGAATAAGTAATCATTAAGCTTATGTTGTTAAAATTCCCATGTGCATGCACATATTTATTGATTAAAGTTTATAATTATACAATTTATGCATTGATAAGATGTTATTGCATACTGCGAGGTTCACTAAATAAGTTTAGGCGATTTTTGCTCGATCAATCGTGTTATCCTTATATTAAACAATATTAACGACAATTCTCTTACAAAAAATCTCTCAGTGTTTGTGATTTAACGCCATTTGTGAATCGCCATTAGGAAATATGTGATAAAGTATTTAAAATAACTACTAAATGGCAACGAAGTTAGGATAAAGATGTCTAGAAGCAGAAGAAACATTCTACGCGCGGAATCTCGAGAATGCTTGAAAATTCCCAAAGTTACGGGCTTAGGCAGTGAGTTATGAACTCGTCGGTTACTCTTCAACATTCATCGATAGGCTTTACAATAAATCATATCCTTAGCGCGTATCCTTCGACTCAAATCTCCCAGCCCCAGTGGAAAATCAACAAGTGCCTGCACTTTTGCCAGAGTTTCCAAAACAAAAGCGGAAAATAAGAATAGCCGCGGGGCGGCGGGGGCAGCGAAGGCGGCGTGAAACCATTGAAGTCGAAGGCGTTTACCTATTGGTCTGTTAATCTGTTCGCAGTGAACGAGTGGGTCGGCAGCACCCTGGAGATGACGCGGATTTCGAGGCTCGACATGGGGAACTACCTCTGCATCGCGAGCAACAGTGTGCCACCCTCGGTCAGCAAGCAGATCAAGGTCTCCGTCGACTGTGAGTATATGTGGCATATATACTTCCTCCTCGCTCGCTTGTCGAAGGTGACGGCTCTCGGGTTCCTGCGATTCAAGGACACGAGAGCCGCGTGAGCAGCCGCTCGTCCCTCATCCTCGTTAGCTTCATTCGCGTAGCTTTTCTCTACGAGTCTCGTCGGAGCCACCGTAATCGAGTGATATCGTTCGTAATATCGAATCGCTCGTTAATGCAATTTTTATGACGCCCTTACTTGGCTGCGAGATGCTTTTAGTGCTCTATGCTTTGTCCGGCGAATGCTTCGTTTGATTTGTGCTCGTTATGTGGTTAGCCACATTCTGCGCGAGCGCTGAATAACTTCATTATATTATGATGGGACAAAGTTTGCGAATGTAGTAGTAGCTTTATAAGAATAATACATGGAAATGTGAATATAAGTTAATGAGAGAGAGAGAGAGGGGGAGAGAGAGAGAGAGAGAGAGAGAGAGAGAGAGAGAGAGAATGCATAAAATTGTAGTTGACTAACATTCGTAAAAGTATATTTAAAATTTCTTTACATCTATCGTAATTATAATAGAGATTTAGAAATAATAATAATGATATTAAGTATATTTAAAATTTCTTTACATCTATCGTAATTATAATAGATAGTAATTATAATCTATAAAGTCTTTATATAATAATGCAAAGAAGAACAAATATGTAAGTTTGTAATTACGTTGTCATTGGCGTAGGGCCCGAATAAAAATACAGTTTCTTCATTCGCAATTGGGAATGTTTGCATAAATTATTAGCAAATTATATTTTACTGCTAAAAGCGTATTTGAATTTTAAAAGTTTATTAAATTTTATTCGCTCGCACATGCGCTCTCACTATTAGCCATATAATGCAAATTTACGTACTTTGTCGTCGGAAGAAACGTTCTTATGCGCGCACGTATTGGAAATTTAAGTAACACATGTATGACATCCTATTATTTTCCAAGGGGCAATTTAAATTAGTCTTTGATCGTAATTACAATACTTGTAGTAAAAAAAGTACTCCCTCGTTCTTACAAAGAATTATAATCGAACGAGCGATAAAAACAGACATACCCAACTATATAATGAAAACAGATCTACCGATTAATAAACAAAAATAAACAATATTGCGGGGAAAGGTAATTTTAAGCAAATACACAAACTTGAAATATATATTATAAATCAATTAAATGATAAAAGTAGTTTTTGTAAAAAACGTAGTTGTTGTTGTTGTTGTTGTTGTTATTGTTTGTTGTTGTTAGAGTTTTATAAGAATTTTTACTTGATTATTGGAAAAATTGACTCCATGCCTCAAACCGTACATACATCATTTGCATGATCCTTCGAGTGTCAAACTTAGGTTTGTTTCGTTAAGCAAACAACAAGTCTTAATTTGTTTTCGCCTACCGTAATCACATCTCATCATAAAGCGCATGAGAATAAAATTCTCAACTCCACGACCACGCAAATAAGGACATAATGATACAAATGGCCAAGGAGGTATCGGTACCACTCTAATGCTGATAATACTATTATTGCATCATATATAAATAATTGAAACATAAAAAAGAAAGCTCGAAAGATGAGCCATTGATCAGGGGCGTTGAGTTATAAAATTGCGGCCGCTCACGTGCGCGGGGTTTAATGGCTTAGAAGAAGAAAAGTCGCGCATAAGCCAGACGCCACACGAGAAGGAGACACGATGTTTCGTCGGCTCATTGTCTATTTTACCGCACCACTGGCCTTCTTTCATCGCGGCGGCCCTCGAGCCGCCCCGAACGACGTCATTCTCCTCGCGAACGCTGGTCCGTCTACCTTCGCATTCTCTTCTCAAGATTTTTATGGGGCAGGAGGTAGCGAGATAGATAGCTAATGCGAGGGTGAAAGTGGAAAAGCCACGAGGACATAAAAGTAAGCCCGAGCCAACTGTAACAGGCCATTACCGTTTTCACTGCTTGCGTCATTCAAACCGCGGCTGTTGTCACTTTAGCGGCACTTGCGACCGCGCGACTTCACGTCCCATGCTTTTTCAATTGGCCCTCTCTACTGTTTAACCGTTATCTCAAAATCAAAGTACTCCTACTTTCGCTGTCTCTTACTCTCGAGCTTCACTGCCTCTTGTATCTACTTTTGTATCCGCTATTCTATCCACTGACACTACCCTCTTAATTGTTTAATTTTCTTTTTATCTCACCTCGCCCCTATTGGACTTTTCTTTCTTTTTCTTTCTTTTTCTTCTTTTTTTTTCTTTGTAGCGCTACAGGCTTTATGCGTAAACCATTTTCGTGTTATTAACTTTATAAACGAACAAAACGTTTGTTTATCACTCGTAAATGTGATAATGATTTGTTTGAAGAGAAGTAATTCTGTTGATCATCGCACTCGGTATCGTCTGGGTCGAATAAGCTCTTCACATCGACCTTTCAATTTACATTATCTCAAATCGTTCTTGTAAATTGAATTGAGAAAAAATTATTAAAATCTCTAGATTAATTAATGTAATGAGTTTTACTCGTATATGAAACGCTCATACATCGAAATATACGAAGTAGCGATCATCCGTTTTGCCATTTTTTGTTTTCTACAAAATTGAATTATCGTGTCTGGGTAGGTTCATTGATCGCTCATTATTTCGATCATTCGATCGCTTGATTAAAGTCTACGTTTATCTTTTGATCAATCTATACACTTGTTTCCTATATAAATTCATTATAAAATGCCGTGAAAAAGATCCGTGACGAAATGAAATATTTCAATTATACATTAAATTAACACATATCTCACTTTTAAATATAGTATTAAGCTTTTTATTCGCTCTTACTCGGGCGTGTACAGAAAATTCAATGCTTTAAGGAAGCACGGCATTGGGAAATGAAAAATTTCTTAAGAGATTATTTCGACGCTTCGTTAGCTCGTATTATAAGGCAATATAAGAGCGGAAATAAGTTCTAAAATAATCCTTTCAAATTACATTTATAGTTTCAATCTGGCAATTGATCTTGTCTCGCAACTAACATTCAATACCCTACTCTACTAAATAAGTGACTTATTCGTATTGTCATAAACAATTTTAAAATAAACGTTAGATGAAAAACTATCGAAGATAGAGGCATAATAACACATAACAACACGCCCTTTATGATACCAACAAAAATTATCCAAAACTGATTCTTTATTTTAACTTAATTGTTAATAATATGAAATAGAATATAGTTGTGCATATTATATGAGATATTTATTTGAAAAAGTAGTAATTTTTAGGAAAATACGCAAATAAAATGATAACTATCAACATTTTCTTTAGACATTTTTATATAGATTTTTATATACACGTTATTCTACAATATGAATTTTGATTTTCTTATATAAATTACAAAGAATTTAGCAGCTAGGAAATTAGCTTTTCCTATTTTAGAATCGTGTCAACATTTACAATTCGTAAAAACCACTCAACTTTGATTTAATTACATAATCAAGAATAGCACAAAATAAATAAAAAAAAAATTACCGTCGACGCTAAAGGTCAATCGGTTAAAAGTCAATTTTAAAAGAATAACCGACGCAAAATATCGAATACAAAAATTAGGATTCAGTTCGTACCGCGAGACAAATTGTACGAGAAATCTGTTGAAAATCCAGCTTCGATATGCGCAACAGAATCTCATCCTCCACTTGTGATTGGGAACGCGCCCTCTGGCGTCTTTGAAATGACTCACACAGCGAGCAAGGTCCCCGAATACGAAATACTTAATGTTTATTACAGTCGATAGATTATTTGAAATTGTTATTTTAGATTATTAGATTATTGTTCAAGCTACGCACAAAATAATATATATTATACCCTTATTAATGTCATATGTCGTAATTATACTATTATTACGGTATAGTGAAGTTAAATATAAAATTTTTTTAAATATTGTATTCAAATATCGTTTACAATGATTATTCATAATATATAATTTCACATTGGAAAGTTCATTTGAATTATTAAATGTTCTTGCATAATATTTAGTCTATAAATATAATTTAAAATACTTACCTGAAAATGCCGCGATAATTTCTATGTTATTTTAGTCATTTTCATACAACATTATAAATAAGTAAATTATTGGTTTCTTCAATCAACTTGAGCTTTGGTTTTTGTAATATATTCATTATTTCTAGTATGTAATCATATCTCCCTCGTCAATTATCTCAATTAAAAATATTTACCGATTACTTTCACTCTGAATGTACCCTATAAATAAATAAATAAATTTACAAGTGTAAATATTGCATTTATTTCAATAATATAAAATAAAAAAACGTGTTTCCTTGTCGGGATTTGTAATTATTAGCAAAGTAACATAACTGAAAAATAGTATTTAAATAACGGCAGAACTCATTTTCTAAAGTAACTAGAGAATAGATATTATTAATTGATCACAATACTGAACATCCTTTGTTGCATTACATTTTGTCCGTTATAAATATTACTTTTTTTTTTTATTTTAAGCTAATGATAATAACAATAAATATTATTATTATTATTATTCTTTGTAATGTGTTATATGAATAATTATCTATTTTTTTTTTTTTTTTTTTATTACAATTTTTATTAATTCTAGTAAATGCCCGATAGTTATCGAACGTAACACATTTATTACATGTACTTTCAATTCAAATAAACAAACCAGAAAATTCATCCTTTCCATCGTGAATTTGATATAAAATAATTATTAAAATATTTACGATATTTATTATTATTACAAAAAATATATTACGAAATAATAGAGGAACAATATTGTTTTTACATACAAAATTCATTTTTTATTAATTAAATGTAAATATAAAGTAACAATACCAACGACAACAACAACAACAACAATAATAATAATAATTATTATTATTAAAATTATAATTAAATAAAATTTTCTACAATAAATAAATTGTATTTCTAGATTTTAATAAATTTTAATAAACAGTAATGATAAATATTTTGAAAATACACACATTATTGT